AGATTTTAAGCAACACCACTGGTCGCGACAACCATGTAATCAACCAAGTTGGAATCCTCCTTAAAGAATTGTGTCGGCTTCATTCTTTACCAGAACCACCCGATGTGGAACGACTGAGAACAGCATTGGACCCATTAAGATTAGGTGGAGCTAATGAAGCTATGGCACAAAGAATGGAAGCTGAAGATACTGAAGATATTGACGAAGATGAAGAAAGCGAAGCAGAAGAAGATCTTCATTTAGATATGGATGAAGGTGACGCGAATTCAAAGACCAAGGTAAGTAGATTCCTTTTATTACTTTACTCTCTTTACTTACGTAATAAATTTCTATGCCTGTTATAAACATTGTAGAAGTAAGCATGTTATTTATGATTTTTACGGATTGCTATGTATTTTATCCGTACAAAGGGGGAAGAAATGGATTTAGAGCACCTTGCGACGCTAGAAAGGTTGAGACAGAATCAGAGACAAGATTACTTAAAAGGATCTGTTTGTGGAAGTGTACAAGCAACAGACAGGCTAATGAAAGAACTGAGAGACATTTACCGAAGTGACAGCTTTAAGAAAGGTATTATGTGGTTAATGCGTCATGGATAATTGTCTGTATCATCAGTCTCAGAGAAGTTAATATCTAAAAAAAAAACTTCATCTGAATCGTATAAATTTATTTCAGGAATGTACAGCATAGAATTAGTAAATGACAGTTTATACGAATGGAACATTAGGTTGATGTGTGTTGATCCTGATTCACCTCTACATAGCGATCTCATCCTTCTTAAAGAAAAGGAAGGCAAAGACAGTATTCTTCTTAACATGCTTTTTAAGGTATATAAAGTTGTTGTGCCGTTGAAAAATGTAATAAAAAAGTGAGACTGAAAGATCTGTTCTCTTTGAAAAACAGTGAGGATAACTCTTTGATGAAATATTCTATTTCCTTTTTTTTTCCATTTTGATTTATTGTAGGAAACTTATCCATTCGAACCACCGTTTGTAAGAGTCGTACATCCCATCATATCGGGTGGATACGTCCTCGTAGGTGGTGCTATTTGTATGGAACTTCTTACGAAACAGGGCTGGAGTTCGGCGTACACGGTAGAAGCGGTAATAATGCAAATTTCTGCGACACTGGTAAAAGGAAAAGCACGCATACAGTTTCAAGGCTCAGGCGGTGCTGGTAAAGTGTGCGGTGGACAAGGGCAATACAGTTTGGCTCGCGCGCAACAATCGTTTAAATCGCTCGTACAAATACATGAAAAGAATGGTGAGAAAATTTAATATTAATATTTGCACACACACACTCGAAAGGGATTGACTCCTTTGATAACACTAACATAAACTTTAAGGAACAATTCATTGTCAGAAAATGTAAATCATTTTTGCCTTTTAAAAAGAGTATCTCCATAACTATCTTTCCAGGTTGGTTTACTCCACCGAAGGAGGATGGCTAATGAATAAATATTATCAAGGAGCAAAATATGACGCGTGCTTACAGCTGAGACTTTAATTCGGTGTGTGCCCAACAAATAATTGTTACGATAATGATTTGATACACAAACACATTACCTAGGTAACTTAAGATACTGAATTAATCTAACGCATAATTCCTTTGATGGCTGAGAAAAGGCTGCCGCGCAAACGGTGACATGTTTCGTTCTGTATGCATAGATTTTTCAGTAATTAGGCATTTAGAGATCGTATATGACCGCATTGACGAATGTGATTTGTACGATCTTTTTTCTCTTATCTGGAATTTATAATTATTCTTTAAAAATGCCAATTGATCTTCGAAAGTAACGAGATAAACCTTTGTTTTCGTTGACGATACATACTATACCATACCATACCATACCATACCATACCATACCATACCATACCATAATACCATACCATACCATACCATACCATACCATACCATACCATACCATACCATACCATACAATACAATACAATACAATACAATACAATACAATACAATACAATACAATACCATACCATACCATACCATACCATACCATACCATACCATACCATACCATACCATACCATACAATACAATACAATACAATACAATACAATACAATACCATACCATACCATACCATACCATACCATACCATACCATACCATACCCATACCATACCATACCCTACCATACCATAGCTTATAACACTATACCACACACACACTAACACGTATACACATACACACACACACGAACACAGTGCGTGCGTACGAAAAACAGTGTGTAAACATTTTGTGAAATATGTTTACGTGTTGTGCTTCCTGTCTCCATAAAGAGAGAAAGAGAGAGAGGGAGAGAGAGAGAGAGAGTATGAATGGGAGTGGAGGGGAGCAGCAGGGAGGAGAATGGTGGGAGGGTAGGGACGTAACACAATGATCATTGCTCTAATTATACTAAGAAGTTTTCCAATATATTTTTATTATTGGGATTGTTTGTTAACTACATTAATCGTGCAATCCATTAGGAAAATCGTTCATGCGCATGTTTACAATTCTTTTTTTTTCTTTAATAAGAAGGAAAAAAACAATAAAAATTATTAAAAAAGTAAAACACAGAGTAAAAAAGCTAGCGAGACAGAGAGGGGGGGGAAGAAGAGAGAGAGAGAGAGAGAGAGAGAGAGAGAGAGAGAGAGAGAGAGAGAGAGAGAGAGAGAGAGAGAGAGAGAGAGAGAGAGCGGCGGTGAACTTTATTGGAGTAAGAAGAGTGATATAATATATCACAGTGAAATTGTGCATATTGTTTCAAGTTTAAGACGAATTTTCTTTTGATTTACATTTTGTTACGCTTGATAATTTAAGTTGTTACATCATGATGACGAACGAGAGAGGACACACAAACACACAACCAAATGGTGATTAATTTGACCATAAGAAATTTGAAATATCATTGAATTCGTGGAGAGAGCTCCACGGGAAAGTAGAATTCGAGAAAATTAACGATTGATATGAAACTTTATATAAATAATAAATGATAATAATAATAATAATAGTAATATTAATAATAATAATAATAATAATAATAATAATAATAATAATAATAATAATAACAAGAATAACAACTATACTTTTTTATTTTCCGATTAAGCAAGCATTTTTTCACCGAGTATACTTTCTTCTTCCTTTTCTTTTCTTTTTTTCTGTTTTTATTTTTTATTTTTTATCTTTTCTTTTTTCTTTTTTCTTTTTTTTTATTTTTTTCTTTCCATTTCTTTTTCCTATTGTCAGTTTTGTTTTTTTGTCATATAAAGAACGAAATACGAAAAGGAGACGTCGACGTCGATAGATTTTTCATCGGAAAGATCCAAAATATATATATATATACATATATTTTTACATCTCTCGTATTAGTCGATTAGGCGACAGATTATAAGACTTTGAAAAAAATAGCGATCGTACGTGTTAGTGCAATTGATGTCGATACGTTTAGATAGAATTATATTAGAAGTACGAAACATACGGCATAATAATAATAGTAATAATAATAATAATAATAATAATAATAATAATAATAATAATAATAATAATAATAATAATAATAATAATAATAAAAAAATAATAATAATAATAATAATAATAATAAAAATAATAATAATAATAATAATTATAAAATAATAATAATAATTATAAAATAATAATAATTATAAAATAATAATAATTATAAAATAATAATAATATAATAATAATAATAATAATAATAATAATAATAATAATAATAATAATAATAATAATAATAATAATATCCCTCTCGCTCCTTTATTTCTGAAAAAAAAATTGCCAAAGTTTACGTTTAGATCTCTTTAATCGCCTAAACATTGTCCGTTTTTTTTGTTTTTTATTACATAACTTATTTCTCTTACATTGTTTGACGTACAATTGAAATGAGTATGTAACAATTTTTATATAGTTGTATATGTATATATATAATATATATGTATTCGGTTGTGTAAAACTGTTGTGTTACTTTCCTTATAAGGGATAGCTCTTGAAAATCTTTTACTTTTCTAATTCTTTTTTTGTTTTTCTTTCGGTCTAAGTGCTGCTAGAAATTAAAAGGAAAAAAAAAAAAAAATAAATAAATAAAAATAACAGAAACATGAAATTTGGTTGTGTGTAAAATGTTTGATATTGTCCGCTTTTTGTTACTTTCTCTACGTTTCGAGAAAGAAAGCATTCATTCTGTACAATGATGCGCTGTTACGTTATAGTTCGTCGTATAATAACGCCAAGGCTTTGATGCCATTCTCAAGCGTTTAGTATATTTTATATGAATGTATATATGTGTGTGTGTGTGTATATATATGCGCGCGTGTGTGTGTGCGCATATATATATATGCATTTATATATATACATATATAATACATATATTATATATATATATATACATATATATATATATATATAACATTGTGATCATATATAAGCCTGTTATATATGAAACTGTCGTTTAAGTAAACAATTTCAAAAAATTATCTTATTGCGTAATTTGTATGGCAATTATCTAATAATATGAATTATGCAATAAATTGTTTACAATTTTTGATTACACACACACACACACACACACGCACGCACACGCGCGCACACACACACATATATCGTGATTTTTTGATCATTAATTAAATAACGCATTAAACTAGAGAGACAAAGAAAGGTGGGGATAGAGTGAAGGAGAGAGCGGGGGGAGAGAAAGAGAGAGACAGAATCTTTGTTAATTAAAATGTTGGTGGAGTTCAGTTGGTGTGTAGTCAAATTTATATTATATATCTTCACTTGAGAAGGAAGAAAAAGAAGATGGATAAAAAGGAAAAAAGAGAAAGAAAAGAAAAGCAAAAAATTATATATAAACAAACAAGCAAACGAACGTGCGTTATTAAGTCATTACGTGTAAAGCTCATATTATTGTAAACTCATTTCTCTTACATTATTTCATTCCTTCGTAATAAGTGCTGACTGATGTTAGTGTAATAATTCTCGATGCACTTTCTAAACATAGCGCGATAGAACTTATAATAGTGGACAACAGCAACAATAACAACAACAACAATAACATCAACATCAATATCAACATCAACATCAACAACAACAACAACAACAACAACAACAACAACAACAACAACAACAACAACAACAATAACAACAACAACAACAACAACAACGTCATCATATCCTCTCTCTCCAGAGAAGAATATCAATTTTCACTTGCACTTTAAAAATGAAAAATAAAATGGCGCTGATATATATGTACATATATACATATATATATTGGCATCGTATATACATAGCATCGTATCATTTGAATAGTCACAAGTATGCTTATGTTCATTAAACAAATCTCTCTTTTGTCACCGTTTATAGTCGCATCGATGCAGTTAAGAAAATACAAATATTGCTTGCAAGTTATTTTTGCAAGTTGTTTCGTACATACATATTATACGCATATACATACACGTACACGTACACGTACACGTACACGTACACGTACACGTACACGTACACGTACACGTACACGTACACGTACACGTACACGTACACGTACACGTACACGTACACGTACACGTACACATACACGTACACATATACGAATACATGCGTAAAATAAAAAAAAGGAAAAATATCGATACGCAAAAAAATGTATATTCTAAACCGTGTATATATATACACAGATATGCAGACACACTAAGAAAAAAAAAACACGTATTAATATAGAGAAACACGAAGATTCTCTTTCGTACGTACATACATATGTTTCATCTTCGTATTCTGCTGCTCGCAGTGAATCGCTTCGTTTCACACATTTTTTACGCGCCAAAGCGGAGTGTCTTTTTGCGAAAAGAATGATAGATAGGAAGAATGAAATAATAAATTGTGAATGAGGCGAGAAAAGGAGAAGGTGAGAGGAGAAGGTTAGTAGGAGAAAGTGAAAAAGGAGGAGGAGGAGAGTAATTAAAGAAGAAATCACGTAAGACAGATTTATATGAATTAATTAGCATTGCGACGAAGGCTTATGATCGATCGAGAGAGAGAGAGAGAGAGAGAGAGAGAGAGAGAGTGAGAGTGAGAGAGTGAGAGTGAGAGAGTGAGAGAGAGAGAGAGACAAAAAGAGGACTTATCGTCTCTAACGATCTATCACATATGTACGATCTATCGGATTGAGGATGAATATTCTTTTTCTTTTTCTCTTCCTTTTTTTCTCGGGATTATTGCGACGATCTTTTCGACAATTATTATTGACCATCATTTTCGTCTCGACGTAAATAATATACATATGCATATTGTAAACACACATATTACGACGACAACGATCTATTCGAGCGAAGTGCGTAATGAGTATGGGTTTCCCGATAAAATTGTGCATTCGTTAATTGTAATTATATTGCCGAAAGAAAGAAAGGAAGGAAGGGATGGAGGGAGGAAGGAAGGAAGGAAGGAGGGAGGGTGGTAGGGAGAGAGGGGGGAGGGATGGCGGAAGGAAGAAAGGAAAGAAGGAAGAAGCGTTTCATTCAAAAGTATTTGTGCGAGATGTGAAAAAATGAATGGGTAAAAAAAGTTTTAGGAACGAGGAAAAGGATCGATCATTACAATGGGAGGAGTAGAATGCGGATAGGCCGGGGGATTGTGAGAAGGGGGACGGGGCATGGGTCGAGGTAAAGAAGGAAAAAATGAAATCGTGTTGTGTCATGAGGTACGAGGAAAAAAATGTTTTCTAGCTTTTTAAGTGTAGATCTTATATAGAAATGCGATTCTCACACATTGTTATCATCTCTAAACGGGGCCCAACGATAATGATTTGTACAGCCGCGTGCCCCGAGAGATTAAACATATTTGAGTTATCATATCGATTGTTCGACGTCGTTAAGAATTATCGTGTTATGTTTTGTATTTTTCTCAAAAGCTTCTCTTTCTTCTTCTTCTTCTTTTTCTTCTTCTTCTTCTTCTTCTTCTCCTCCTCTTCTTCTCCCTCCTTCTTTTTGATTAGTCTACTTTGTCTATAATTCTATTTTTATTTCTTTATTACTACTTTTTCTTCCTCTTTATCTTCTTCATTTCTTTTTCCTCTTCTTCATTATCTTTATTTTCTTCTTCTTCTTTGACGATGACTTTCTATCTGCTTTACTCTGATCGTTTATTTTCTTTTTTGTTCTTCTTTCCTTTTCTTATCTCCTCTTTCTTTCTTTTTTTAAATAATTTTTCTCCCCTTTCTCTTTTATCGTCTTCTCGTCTCCCACATTTTCCATTCCTTTTTATTCTTTCGATATATATTATATTTGCTAAGAAGAAGAGGAGTATCACGATGGAAAAGAAAAGAAAAGAAAAACAAAGCGAAGTGTGTAACGCATACTTTCTATATTTTTGCTACTAATATCGAGGGCATTATATTTTTTATTGAAAATAAATCGGAGATATAATGTCGTGATCTTTGCGTTGTCCAGAAGGGAGAATGGGGAAGGTGTGGGGATGTGTTGTGTGAGAAGGGGGATTGAGAAAAAAGAGGTCCCGGAGAAAAGAATAAGGACGACTTAGGGTGGCATGAGACAACGATGATTAAAAAGATTCTGGCTAGTTTCTTTTTTTTTGTGAGAAAGAGAGCGAGAGAAAGAAAGACAGAAAGAGAGAATGATAGTGAGAGTGAAAGTATGTGTGTATGTGAGTGAGAGAGAAAGAGAGAGAGAGAGAGAGAGAGAGAGAGAGAGAGAGAGAGAGAGAGAGAGAGAGAGAGGGAGAGAGAGACAGAGAGAGACAGAGACAGAAAGAAAGAAAGAGGAGAGAGATAACGCAGAGTGAGACGAATCGTTCTTCGATATTCGTGTTCGGTTTAATATTTATGGTACAAAATATCGAACGTCGTAATGATCTTATATTAAACGTAACGAAGCGAGGATTATCATTAGTGAAAGATGCGGTCGAAAAAAATATGTTAGGCTACTATACGTCTTATTTCCAATGTGTCTAAGATAATTGTATACGCACTTTGTGTACAGACTGTATAAAGTGATTTTTCAAGTAAAGGTCCATAAAAACGTTCGTTTCAACGATTTTACCATGTCATTGATAATCCAGTAAAATATATTTATATATATATATATATATATATATATATATATATATATATATATCTGGTAAAAAAGTATTATTAAAGTGCGAAGAAATTGATTTAGTTTTCTTTTTCTTTTTTTCTTTTTTAAATAAGTAAAAGGATACTCTTTCCAATGAGACCAATTTCAATTTTCTAGAATAATTATTGACTTTAATAATACGCTATGTAAGATCATGTATTATTAATGAAATTCTTATTGCGATATAATGCATGACTTTAAACGCATTTTTCTCGAAAATTTGTTATCCCTTGTTAACATATTTTTACGTCCCTTTATAGGTAAAAAGTACGCTATGTTCAATGAGACTCAATCGCAATTTCTTAGGATAATTATTGACTTTTGCAATTAGCTATTAAAATCATTTATTAATAATGAAACCCCGTTGCGGAATAGTGCATAACTTCATACGCTTTTATCTCGGTAAGTTGTTCTCGCACGTTAGTCTCTTTTTATCGGAGCACGTAGCACATATATTATACGTAGCGCATATGTGCGTGTGTGTGCCTGTGTGTGTTGCGTGTAGTATTAGAATCGAAAAAAGTTTGTAGCGTTTTCCAATAGACGGCGTATAGAAAACACCCTATGAACTTTTCTTCAGAACCGATACATTGCTACATATGTAAATATATACAAGCTGGCCATTGAAAAAACCTAAATGGAATAAAATCAAAAATAATTTTTTCAAACGCATGTTTTTCAGTGGCTATAGTATGTATGGTACAGTAACATATATATATATATATATATATATATACATATATGTATATATATATGTATATACATATATGTATATATATATATATATACATAGCGATGCACGTATTTATAATTATTTTGCACATTTAGTTTTAATTTTTGAAGAAACGTAATTAAAGAGATTTTTTTCTAAAAATCATTGTTCTTTCTTCACGAGTATTGGGTAAAATTTCCTTCTATTAGATAATAAAGCATAAGGAAGTTAAAAAGAGTAGTGTGAAGGAGTTGAAAAAAAATATTGCACATTAGATGATAAGTATCATTTTGAAGTCAGGCTAGAAGGATATTTTTGTCATCTAAAAATTCAATGCGTGTGTGGAAAGAGAAAGAGAGAGAGAGAGAGAGAGAGAGAGAGAGAGAGAGAGAGAGAGAGAGAGAGAGAGAGAGAGAGAGAGAGAGAGAGAGAGAGAGAGAGAGAGAGAGAGAGAGAGAGAGAGAGAGAGAGAGAGAGAGAGAGAGAGAGAGAGAGAGAGAGAGAGAGAGAGAGAGAGAGAGGAAGAATATATCGAACACAATTTCACATAGTACGGAGAAGGTTAATGGGTTGTCCGTATTGCCATGCTATCAGTTTGTATTTCCCATGGGATGAAGAGAATGAGGAAGAGGAGGAGAAGGAGGAAGAGGAGGAAGAGGAAGAGGAAAGCGTATTCTCGCTCTCACACCCGAAGATAACGCGCTTGGCAATTTGCATAACGCGTGTGTGCACCCAGAATATGCACGTAGGTATAATACATATACTCCTATATTTATGTATATATATGTATATATATATATGTATGTATACATATATATATATATATATATATGTATGTATACATATATATATATATATATATATATATATATATATATATATATATACATATTTACATACACATGACGCATAACACTGTCAGACACATTTCTTTTCATTGAAAAAGGGAACGTCCTTTTCGTTTGGATCATCCTATCCCATAACATTTCTCCTGATGATACGATATTCGTTCGTTCGCCTTTATACTGTCCAAGAACGTGACTCCTTTGATCCGTGACTACTGAAAATTTCTCCTGTTGCTTCTTTTTAAAAGTTATATCTATCGTGGAATAGCTTGCGAATCCAATATGTTAAATATAGGCATCATACTAAATATATATATATATATAATAACTTAGCAAATATTGATATGCTAAGTTGAATTAATGATAATAAATAGTCATGAGTAATTGATGAAAATGTAAAATGTTTAGATGATGTATAATAATTAATGAGTTATTAATGCTTTTTGAACGGTTAATTTTCTATATAATATGTACTTTTAATATATATATATATATATATATATATATATATTAAAATTAATATATTAACATTAATATATATATATATATATATATATATATATATATATTCTAAATATTTATATAGACAGAGTGTATTGATTGACAAATTGGTTATCTTTCCTTCTTCTTCTTTCTTTTTTCTCTTTTTTCGTCTAACACGATTTCTATAAAAAGTTCAATTTGAAAATACCAAAACTTCATGCTTTTAAAGGACGTCATTTTCAAAGAGAAAATCTTTATATGTATACGTTATATTATATTGCAAGTTTATGTTAGAAAGTTTTGTAGAAGAAAAACACATATTGTACGTAGATACGATCAAGGACTCTTCCAATACTCTTCCCTTTTATCCCTTATGGGACTACCTTTTTCTGATTTTTATACGTATGTATTATCGTTACCGGTCAAACAATACAATTTCGATACGGTAGGTACTTTTCGATAAATCAATTTACGACATGTGGTGACCACGTCCGATATACCTATTTTCCTCCCCCTTTGAACTCACTACACACATGTCAAGTCTTCTTTTTGACTACATACTTACCTTCCTACGTACTTACGTACCTACGTACTTACCTCCTTACGTACTTACCTCCCTACCTACTTACCTCCCTCCTTACTTACCTCCTACGTACCTACCTCCCTACATACTTACCTCCCTACGTACCTACCTACTTTTCTACCTACCTACCTACCCATCTATCTACCACCCTCCATTCTCCTAACAATTCCACAATCTTCCATTTTTCGTTTTCCTTTCAAAACGAAGCCAACGCAAAGAAATTTGAACGTGGCTACGAAAATCCAATCGAATCATATCTGCCTTTTCCCCGGTTTATCGGGACCTTACTAGAAGATTTTATATTCAAATTGGATGTCATGTTTCTTTTTCCTTCTTCTAGCTTCTTCGATTTTGTCCATTGGTCTTACGTGCCTGGATTGGTATATATATGTATCGGTTTACTTAAATTCGATCGTAGATTTTTTTAAATCTATATTATATATATATATATATATATATATATAAATATACACACTTTTTTTTATAAGATATAATCTTCACCTCAAATTAAGAATAAATAATAATTTATTTGTGAAAGTAGATAATTATTTATTCTCTCTCTCTCTCTCTCTCTCTCTCTCTCTCTCTTTCTCTCTGAATATATATATGCATATATGTATTTTATACCTTGTAATATAGAAGTTCATATTCGAGTAACATATTCGATAAATTATTTTACAATGATCGTACGATGGATATAAGTTAAAAAGTTTCTGCGCAGGTAAAATATTCTTAGATGATCCTAAAAATCAATTACTCCGATTTTCGAAACTTTTTAAGCACAACTTTTTTTTCCCAGATTATAAATAAAACTATTATGAGCTTAGGAACTTTTAACACCCTTTGAAATTTTTGGCCTAATCCTATATTCATATATCGAAAGAAATTTTAGAAAAGGTTTTCATTATTACGAGTTCATTCATTTTATATACTTTTTTTTTTTTACTTTATTTTATTATATAGAGGCTATATCAATATAGCTTTTGAGTGACAGTTATATATACATATGTATGCATATGTATGCGTAATAGAGGAAATGTTATCAATAATATTAGATGTATGTATATTTATATTAAAAACAATTATATTTAAATCATTATCTTGTATTTATTTTGCCGTTTTAACAAATCCACATTGACGAATAGTACTTTGTCGAGTTTTTCTTTTCGACTAAATCAAATATGTTTATACTTTTATAGGAATATACATAGTATGATTCGTTAGTAATATATTCGATATACGCACAATGTATGTACGTATGCTGTTCGTATCAATCATATGTACGTATACTGTTCGTATCAATCATTCTGATTTTACGAAGGAATTCTAAATTCTAACTATCCAACTGTGATTGTTTAGTGGTGCACGAAATCGAAGTTGTGGTATCGTTAAGCTTAACTTTCGAGATTCATACTTGTTTCGACGTTCTATATACACATACGTATATAGATACATACATACATACAGACGTACGTATGTATGTACGAATTGCAGAAACAATCACGAGAATAAGCACGTAAACGTTGAAAGGATATTTCCTAGATTGTTCCGTTTCTCTCTCTCTCTCTCTTTCTCTCTCCCTTTCTCTTTCTCTTTCTCTTATACTCTCATATACTCTCTTTCTAGTGTTTCTCTATTCGTATTAGTTTCGACAGAATTCATTAGGAATCTCGTTGCTCGTCGATATTAGCGAAATGTCAAAAACAGACAATTATATTCAAAATTGCCCGAAGTATCTATTA